CAGAAAGTGATCTTACCTATAGTCTCTGATATGCTATAGGACCGATGATACTGATATTTAGTAGACAGTTGAACTTAGATATATTCGGTAGTAATAGGTCGTTATTCCTCAGATTTCTCTACATTTTCTCGAGGTTTGCTCTCTACTATTAGTGATCTTGATGCTTCCGTGGTGAAGGGTCAATGCTTTGTTTAAGTAGCTTATCTCGTCGGTCTGCATCTGCTTGATACGTACTAGCGGTGCTTGTTGGAATAGGCTTCTTGAGTATCGTGATCGGAGTAGGAAGGGAAACCTGGTTGCATACTTCTTTAAACAAGGTTGGTTTATATGGCTAAATCATTCGACGACGGCGACAGTCGAGTAAAACGTTATGTTACGCTAGCCATATTCGTCTAAGTATCAAGTCGTGTTTTCTAAGATCTACTACCAGTATAGGTACCTGCTAGTGGACATGCCCTTTAATGTATATTGAAAGAATAACTGCATAAGTGATAGGTCTAGCTAGCTTATTATCAAATCTATTCACTAGGCACTACCTTTCTAACCTCTGAACTCGTAGACCTTACTGTTAGTATAATAAAGCTACTAAAGCTGTGTCGATGAAAATTGAACCATCTGCTCCGGTATCACATAGTGCTGAAATAGAAAAGGAACGTCTATTGATCATAAGCTCTGTGTTAAACACTAAACTATCATATGGACTTCTAAGTAACTTCTGTAAATTCAACGAATAAAGTGACACCTTTTTTCCGCCTAGGAGGGAGACTTCGCCTAGGCAGGTGCTTTTCCCGAATCCTGATTTTCAAATTCTTCCAGTTCGATGCGAGGAGAGGGGTTGCGAGCAGGAACTTGAGTAATTACTGCAGTGGTTACTAGACCTGTCTTTTTAGGACAATCACGAGTCATATAGCCTTGCTCCTTATAGTTGAAACAACGTCCTTCTCTTATTAGTGTTTGTCTTTTAGTAAATAGCAACGGAGTGAATCCTGAGTTTTCTTTCTTGATTCGAGTCGTGGAGGTTGAACCTGTCGACGAGGAAGTGATATTGTTTCCGGAACTAGAAATTCGTGCTCGGTTACTAGATCGTGATTCTTACTGAACGTTGATGTCGTGGGACAGACTGATATAGATCTAGACAAATTCATCGAAAGATACTGTGTTCTGATTCTTCTAGAGCATTACCTAGGTTTGTAGCAAGTATAGAAGCATAAGATAAAGATCTTGCTTGCGGTTTTCGATTAGAATATATGCTTCTTCGGCAAGCTGTATAAAGCTAGCTAGAAAATCGGTAAAGTTCTCCTTTGGCTTCATTTTCAATTTGTGGAACTAAGTGTATGCCTCGGCCTTCCTGTTTGGGTTGGCAAACACTGTTTTCAGGTGTATAAGAATATCTTCTGCATCGGTGTAGTGAGTAGCTGATTCAGGATCCATTCTTGGTGCGATGTGTAACTGTGCCTTTCCTTCGTAACGGCTTTAGACATATATCATTCGGTGGATCGGATCGGGGTAATGATCTGTATTAGCAAGTAGCTTCTGTCGGATCACTATTTGCTAGGTTTCGAAGCGAACTTCCTTGCCATCACTTAGTATAGGAGTATCAGGCATCTTAGTCGTTTTCTGAACACGAGGGATTGTAGCTACAGCCTCCATAATCGATGCGCTGCGCTAGTGGTTTCCTGATTGTAGCAGCTAGTATGCTATCTCATTTCTAGCATCCACTACCGTCTTTTCTTTCTCCTTTGCGATCATCAGGTGAGCAATCGCTTCCTCACGTTCTTTATCAGCTCGCTCTCGGAGTATGACGCTTTCTTCAAGTTCTTTGCTAATAGCATTCTTCCTGATTTCTAGCTCGTTGAATTTGACTTCAAGCTCTTTGTACTTCTTGACCATTGTTTCGAAGCGCTGTCGTGCATCCTGCCGAGCGAGAGTGTCGCGTACCGCTGGTGAGTTTAGATGCGAATGAACTAGACTAGCACCGGTGCTTTGGCTTCGTCCTCGTATTGGTGACGAAGGGTCGGAGGGAGGGAGTTCAATCGAAGTCGGATCATGTGTGGTCGTTTCTTCTTGATCATCGCTGTCAGCGAGTCTCGTTTGCTGGCTCCGAGTCATGCGGGGAGTCTTCTTCTTCGAATCAGCCATTCTTGCTGCTGATTGGTCGGTTCTGTCGATCTTTCGGTTCGGTTCGGAGGTCTTGGCTCTACGATGCCAAGGAACGCGAAGTGGGGCTGAGCAGGGCTGAAACCAATCACAATGATGGTTTGTACAGTCGTGCTGCTTAGTAAAGTGTTTTGGTGATGTTTAGTATTATGTTACGAGCCAAGTCTTGATGAAAAAGAGTGCATTCAACTAGAATACTAAACATGGGGAAAGAAAGAAAGAAGAAGAAAGAAATAACACGCTGAAACAATTAAGGTAGTGATGCCTGAGGCCTCCAATCAAACAATGTAAAACACGAACTACGAAAGGCGGTGGAACACGGCAGAATCGGTTCAGGATCATTGATCCTGAATTCTTCGTGACACCTTATATAAATTCGGGCTGGAAGCTGAATCAGCGTTCCTTGGGAATAAGTAGGTATGCTTCCTGGATTTTGTAAAGAAGATGATCTCTATCTGTCGAATTCTAATACTATATGGGATATTTATATAGATTTCAGCTAATATTAAACGATCTTATCGGGTTCGAAACTTAGTAGTTGATAATAAATTAATACGAAATCGACGGAGGTAGTATTTGAGATGACTTTATCACAATTATGATCATAGGCCCATAAAATGTGTTCCTGGGCGTAAATCTTAGGGAGCTTTTGAGAGACGCGCAGCTGGAACTACTTTTATGCTGCTGATTTTTGGATTAAGAAATGAATATGAGGCCATATTGTAATGGTCTTTGGGACCATACAATGGGAGACAGATCACTAAGACTGCCAAGCACTCTTTCCAACCTTTGGCCTTTTCCCATCAGGGTTTTGCCTGGTTGGTTTTAACGAGGCTATGCAGGACGAGGAGTAATGGATCCGACCATGTAACGGGAATGTTCCGTCTACGAAAAGGATTCGGACGTAGTGTCACCAACGAAGATGGAATCGCAATAAGCGATACCGACAGAGATAATGTGCCCCTGGGAGCTTCGTCCAAACGGGGCATAAAAGGGGGATAACTCCCTGGCCCCTATCTGGGGGACAAGAATTAGTCTCTGTACAAGAATACTATATCGTTGACGCTCCTCCACTATTCATTACCGATTCATCATCGTATCTTACCGGATTGACAGGCTGATCACCCCTGACCTGGTAATCTTCTTACACATATAATTAGACCTCGACATTTCCCGTCCATGGGAAATCTTTTTTGTCCATTTCCCATGGACAGTTTCCCATGGGAAATTTCAGCTTCCTATTTCCCTCCCACTCTAGGAAATGGGAATTCCCATGGGTCCCATAAAATTCCCATCCCATGCCAAGCCCTGCACAAATCACCTAAAATGGATGGATAACTTGCTGAGTTATCTAAATTGTTTACTGTTATTTACGCATGTTTTGGTCACTATAGCATTATATGAAACTTTTCTTCACTAACCTCTATATATTTTTATAAATCGCCATGTATATAGAGTATTTTGATTATATTTTGTATAATTACTTTAAAATTTTGTCCTTTTAATCAAAGTGTGCACTATGGTTTGATTTTTAAAGTCAAAGTATTATGTCTTCTATGAAACTATGAAAGATATATATATTTGAATACTAGGTCTATACTCCATAAAACGGATTGAGAACAATACTATTATAGATTAGAGAGTATATTGATCAAGTAAAGTAAAAACATGATTAAGATTATATTTCTTGTTATTCTATTTACTTTCAATAATCAGAAACTATATTGTATAAGTACAAGGGCTCAGAATACGTTAATATAAAGGACTTTATAGGCGAAATTATTCTTTTCACTTCAGCGGGGGATCATGTTGAGCCTGAAAATAAGAAATGTAGGAATTCCCACGGGTCCCATAGGAAATCCCATGGGAAATCCCATTGTTTATGGGAATTCCCATACTTTTGAGCCAATTAGTAGCGATTGCTACCTATATTAGTGGGTCTATTATGATAGATCATTTAGTAACTCCTGAATATGAGGACAGCGCGTTTGCTTCTATTAGGCGACGCGAGCTTAATTTTACAAAGGTAGGCCTTCTACCTTTATTCCTTTCTTACCCCAATCCCTTACCTTACTATTGATAGCTATAGCTTATCCTTCTTTATATATAGGAGTAGGCGCTTCATCAGACTACTTTTCGGCCAATCCTACTCATTCCCGCGTACCAGAACATCTTGAGATCTTCGACCAGAGTCTTGAACCAAGCCTCGATAGTAGCCAAAGGACTATTACATCTGCACCAGATACAACTATCCCCTCTACCCCGGATCTTGACTTCCAAATACCTCCTATTACACCTATTACCCTCCAGCGAATTAGTCCCGACCGAAGGAAATCATACATTCTTTATAACGAAATGACCAAAGCAGAGTTTATTGAATGGTGGCGACAAACTATACATGGTGGCTAAGAACATATCCAGAAGAAGATCCGGTGGGATGCGAAGCATATATCAGAGGGCTGGAAGCAGTTTGATCAGGTAGCGCATTATACTACCGGAGAGCCACTGATTCTATGCCGCCTTTGCGGAATCACACTCCCTCACCCTATGTCTAAGCCAAATGGCACTAATACTATCAACCGCCATCCGAACTCCGCAAAATGTCGTAAGAGCGTACGGCATAGCTCAGGGCAGCGATTTTTATAGCAGTCTTTTCAGACAGCAAAGGTATTGATATAAATAATCATCCTTATTTCGATAGCTAATCATCCTTATTTCGATAGCTAATCTCCTTATTATCAATTCAAATAGGATATCCACCAGCCTCGAGTACCGGTGTTCGAACAAGAGCGATAGGAGAGAGCGCAGATCGACCTTATCACAGCGCTTAATCTCCCCTTTGAATGTCTAAATCGTAAGCAATTTTCTACATTAGTGGAAATGGCCTAGTAAGCTCCGGTAAAACCTATATTGCTTCATCCTCGAACTGCACCTCGTCGACTTGAAAAACTAGTCCGTGAAGATCACAAAAGCATTCTTTCTACACTCCCATTAAATGCTAAGCTCTCAATTGCACTTGACTGCTGGACTTCTCCCTTTCAGCAAGCATTTCTGGCAATCACTGGCTATTTCATTGACCAAGACTGGAATTACCGCGAGCTTCTTCTTACATTCGAGCCTCTCTATACATCACATACTGGTTTAAATATGAGTATTATTGTTATAGATGTTCTTCAGAGATATGAAATCGCCGACCGGGTAATTGCAATTACCTCCGATAACGCATCAAACAATACAACTATGGTGGAAAAGCTACAAGAATCTATCGATTCTTTAAGCTTACCTAGTAGCCCAACCGTTGTTCGGATTCCTTGCCTTGCTCATGTTATTCAATTAAGTCTACGCGAGCTACTTGGGATAATGAAAGCCGAGCCCCAAAACGACACTGCAGACAAAGCTGTTGATCGAGTACAAGTCTTAGCTCGTGATCTTCGCGCTACCGACAAAAAGCGTGGAATCCTCTAAACTTTGGTTAAGGTACGCTTTTCCTCTCTATTAATTTATATAATTCACTAAGGAATACTATAGTTACGTGGTCTTGCTGTTTTCATTAATGCAAGTCCATAGCGACGTGCGGCATTTATTGAACCACAAACCCAAGAACCAAAGCTCGTCCCTATCTAGGATGTACGGACCCGCTGGAATTCAACATTTCTAATGCTCCGCCGCGCAAAACGTCTCCGTACTTCATTTGAGAAGTACTGCGCGCTAGACGAGCATGCTCGGTTCCGACTTACTATCTCTAAATAGCGCCAAATCGACTATCTTCTATATATTACGGAGCCTTTTTACCGGTTTACTACCGGTCTTTCGCAGACAAAGGATATCACCGTGCACAATGTCTTTAGAGTATACAATACGTTGTTTGATCACTTTGAAAAATCAATTAAACGGCTTGAACTAAAAACAATTCCTTAGAAAGTGGCAATGCTCGACGCACTAAAGGCTAGTATGGCGAAACTCTCTAGATATTACGAACAAACCACAGAGATATATGGCAGCCTTTATGGTATTGGGACTATCCTCGCTCCCTAGCATAAGCTGAATTTCTTTTTAAGCAAAAGCTGGGGGGATAGCGATGAAGTTGACTGGCCATTACACTATAAAGAAGCACTACATACCTTTATAAAGCCCTATTCTCTCCGTGTATTACAGACACAACCACTACAAGTAGAGAGGGTATAAAGGCCTTATATCGGTGGCACTGCTAGTGACATAGAGGATCTATTTGATAGTGGGCCGCAACCTCAAGTGTCATTAGATTCGGATTCGGAGTTAATAGTCTACCTTGATAAGCGTATGTTTCATTCTTTATCTTATAGTATATTTATACTAACCTATCATTAGCAAGAAAGAAAGTCCACCCTCTTCTTTTCTAGAAAGAACATGAGCACGAGTTCCCTGTCCTTACAGCCGTTACACGGGATATTCTTTCAATCCCTACGACCGGTGCTAGTGTTGAGCGCCTTTTCAATACTGCGCGGGATGCCTGCCACTATCGCCGTGGCTCATTAAATTCAACAACTATCCAAGACATTATGATGTTCCGGTGTACTAGTCGGTTTGACGTTAAGACCGAAGAGTATAAAGAAGTCCTTCTTTCCCTCGAGGCCGTACGGGCTGCAGATGAGCAATCGGAAGCCCACCTTTCTCTAGTTGACCATATATCTATTAGCGATGGCGAAGATGTGAGCGATAAGGATAAAGACGAAGACAATAATGTTCTGCTAGTTATTCAAGATGAGTTCACCAGTACAAGCCAGCGCGAGGATCGCTATAGAAGCCAGCTAGATGTCCAGGAAGATAATACGCAAGCATCTCAAAAGCGACAATCAAGTATGCTGGCTGAAAGCGACGATGATAATGACCATCCCCTTCCAGATAATAGTGGTACTCAACGACGGGCTGGATTAAGAGATGCACGGAAGCGCTGTAAAACTAATGACCCCTAATATACATATTATAAATAGAATGAAGAGAGACGAAACGAATATAATTCTAAATATTTAATACTCTTAATACTCAATCTATACTATAATTATAAGAGAATCAAGTAAATGTAATACTGAAAAATATAGGAGAAATCTACATAACTTATGCAAGTCACGAGTTTCTAGATTTCTGCTTACTAAAATTTCCCATGGGATCCCATCATGGGAAAGCGGGTTCCCATCCAACATCATTTCCCGCCCATGGGAAATTATTTTTGTCCATTTCCCACTTACATAATGTCCATGGACATCTCCCATAGCGGGTCCCATGGGAAATGTCGAGGTCTACATATCATCGGTATTAAGAACGAACTTTTAGGTATAAAAGCCTACTAGCCTTATAATTTGCCTTTCTAACCTAGAAGCTACTAACACTCGTGATAGCGGTATGGCTAGATATTATTAGAGAAGGAGAGGACTGGACCTTTGTTGATACGGACCGGCTAGGAGAGCTTGTGAAGGGGATGCCGTTTCCTGAACGCTAATATCCGGATTTAATTTACTTCGCTGGTAATAAAAGCCGAATCAGAGCCCTCCGATCTTTCCTTCTATAAAAAATGTCACCCGTAAGGGTGATAATAGGCTGATCCGCCTATATATTGATGATAAGGCTATCAATACGGATAGCCCTTTTATGATTACTGAGAGTAGTCTATGTTTACAGCAGAATACTGGCGATACAAAATGGCTTAGATACGCGACCACCAAGCATCGAAGATACGTAATCTCGAATGCGGGAGGCTTGTTTTCCGCTGAATTAATATAGGAAGAAACAAAAAGACAGCTCGTCCTACTATGGACTCGGGTCTTGTGCTTGTTTGTCGAATCCGAATCCGATCTCAAAGCCACGCAAAATTTGCTCTAGCAACCATATAGGTAGCTGCAAGTCGGGAGCTAAGCTATTCGATCTTCACCCGAGGATTTCATTATATTTAATAATAAAATTCACGGGCTAGCGATCGCCTTACCAAGATATGAAAAGCTGCGTCGGATAGTCGAGGGAGGGAGGGTTATATTCCTCGATCTGAGTTTAAGAACCAGTCTTTCTGACACGATTGCTTTTGAGCCGTTGTGGGCCCTTATACCCGAGAAACTGCAGTCAGTCTATTCCGAAGATGAGAGAGTCTGTGGTCGGTTTTCTGCATTTCATCTAAGCTCACTCTAGTACATAAGTGTTCTAGCTAATGGCTAGCTCTGGAAAGCATCACTATTAGATCTGCTGGCTTAAGCTCGTATAGGGTTCCCTAAAACCGAGAAGAAAGATGAATTTATGCACGAGCTTTTGCACAGCGCGATATCCTCTGTCAACTATAGTGCTGTCTTAGAAGGGTTGGCCGAAGTTATCGCTTCGGCTTTTCTAATGAATGCTTATCCACCGGGCATACACGGTAGGGCTGATAGTCCCTAACTAAATACTAACGCTAACGATTTTAGGATTCCCTCCCTCGGTAGTTTTTACCGTCCTATACGAGGCTTATTGTATAGGTATCTGGAACTTTTATCCTTTTGAAAATCTCACCGAACGCATTCGATTACGCTTTGTTGAAAGGTTCGCGGAATTGAGCGTCAACAGAACTTCCTTATCTATCCGCAAAGATGCACTTGGCCAATTTCATCGTTAGGGAGGAAACCTTTATTCCACTACCACCTGCTTTGTTTGCTTGCTTCGGCCCCCCGAGCATATGCTACCATGTACACACGCATTGTATGACACCTGTGTGGCGATATTTGGGAATTTTGAACCCTCTAGGGCGTATCAAGTAGAAATTGTCCAATGTCCGATTTGTGAACGCAAGTGCAACATGACCATCCGTCAACTTCCTCCGACAAAGCGCCCCGTTATTCTTAGCCTAGACGGAGGAGGTGTCCGCGGCCTCATCCAGCTGGGACTTCTCTGTGTATTGGAAAAACGCATTGGTATACCTATTGCATTGCTACCGGACTTGTGCGCCGGAACGAGTGTAGGTAGGTATGACCCCGGTGGAGAAATTGGTTTTTATGTTTGAAAGCTTACAATAACTTGCTTCTAGGTGCATTGGCTGTAATTGACATCTTCATCAACGGTAGTTTGGCTACCAGCTGCTTCCTCAAATTGCCCGATCTGGCACGAAAGATTTTCCGTCGTGAATACAGGCATCCGATTCTTCGCTACGCCCATTGGCTGGCCTCTGCATTCAATCTGACCTCCCACGGGCTCTACGATTCGAGAAATTTGTCGGAAACTTTACAAGAAGCCGTCAATCCTGGTCGTCGAGTCTTTGACGTTCCTATCATGAGCCCCTCAGGCTGTCGAGTGGCTGTTGTAGTAAGTCGTACCACCGATGGAAAGGCATGCGTCTTAGATCAGCGTATAACGGGCACTGCATCAAGATGTATCTCGGTGTAAGACCTCTCGCTGCAATAATACTCATCTGATTTAACCGCCTCAATTTTAAATAGGAAATGATTGATCTTGACTTGGCTATCAAAGAGCAGACTGGGACGAGGGTCTTAATGGCGATCGGCTCGCTTCTGAGTGAGAAAAATTCTTCCAAGCATGATCTCGGATCTTTCTTGCGGGTCTTGATTGGATATGCATTCACTATGATGGGCCCGGCGAGGGAAGAGATTGCTAGGTTCGATAAGTGCAAGACCGTAGGAATCTGCATACTATCCGTCCCAAAGTCAACTATGAGACTCTTTCGGTGACCTTATCTTAAGACCACCACTACCTCGTGATCTCACAGTTGGCAGGATTCTATCGTGGTCCGTCTGTGTTTATTGAGTGTGCTCTCATCCTTGTGACACTCCACTGTCCCTCTTCGGGAACGGTGGACAGCGATAGTGTTGTGGATGGTTATGGATGCCGCTGTAGTTGGAGTAGACCATTAGGCCAATCCAAGGGAAGGTTTATGGGAGCTATTCAGCGCCGAGGACTGGATTCATTATTCCCAGGATCCCATTTGACGCTTCCCAAGCCGTGCCAGCCTATGTCAGCATCCTCTCCGGCTCTGGAAGCCTCGAAATAGTCCCGGTGAGCTTTTGGCACTTGCCAGCATACTCACCAAATCCGCTTCAGAGTTCACTCCCTTCTTCAAATCGGCGAGCTCCTCTGTACCCGCATATTCCAAGGATATGGCGCGAGGGGGCAAACAAGGGCGAACAGTTCTCCCCGATAGGTTTATCATCTGATAACTCCTAATCAACTTCCAATACGGGCCTGGTGGTACTCGACGACATCTCCCATAATACTAGGGCTGCCTACCCCTTACGTATGCTATGGAATTATGAATTGAATGAAGGATAAACATGACCATGTCCCGCAAGTTCCCATCAGGGTTCTAAGCACAGAATTTTATTGATCAAATAGTAGAATTCACCATTCGAATTCCAAAAAGTGGGAAAGCAATTCACTCAGCTATGTACACGTATCTAGCTTATGAGACCAACAATTCTGCTTGTGATAGTCCAATGATTTAGCTAGCAAGCCAGGTTTGGATCATCTTTTCTAGGTCAGGCTTGAAAAGCCACTCCATGTTGAAGTCTTCTGTTCCAATGACCTCGGTGAGCTCATTTTGGCCAGACTCGGGCAAGCGACGGGCATTCATTTGTTGGGCCAAAGTGATCAAACGATCAATCCGTTCCTGTCGGCCTCGTTGCCACTTTGGCAAAACTGAATCCAGCGAGTCCCCGTCGCATTGACCGCGAATGAGAGCATAGGTGTAAGCATCTTCAAAGACTTGATTGGCTCCTTGCCCTGACGACGGAGGGATGGCATGCGCAGCATCTCCAAGCATAGATACTCGACCTCCTTTTGAAGTCCACTTGTCCATCTTCGGAACTTGGTAGAAGGGCCAGATCGATACTGACTCTGGTGTGATCGCCGAGACCGCCTGACGGACGATTTCTGGGAAATCTTCCGTTCCCTGTCGAAGGAACTCGACAGATCCTTCTTTGTCGGCCAGGAGATGCTTCCATCCCTCCCGGTCATGTTCCTCAATTCTTCTCTGCTTGACAATGACCAATTCAGAGCCATCAGGGAAGTTGGGGGCGAGGATATAGGCACCATGCGTCTTGCTCATGATCGTAACAGGCAATGCGTAATCCTTAGGCAGCGCAACTTTACTCGTAGGGACTGTTGCCCCAATTGCCATGACATTCATGAACTTAGGTTCAATGTCACCATGCACATAAGAGCGAACAAGAGAGTGAATACCGTCGGCACCCACGAGACTGGCGGCTTGTCCAACAGTACCATCTTCAAATTCCCAGGTCACCCCAGCTTCTGATTCTGATAAGATTCGATTGAACTTTTTGCCGAAAATGATTTGAATATTCTTCTCGGCACATTTCGCAAGCAGTTCTTTGATCAGAACTTTTCTGTAAACCCGAAGGCCCGGGTATCCATATTTGCTCACGCTGCCGATCTCATACGTGTCGAAAGGCTTGTCATCCTGGAAACGGAAGTGGAAAGCTTCGCAAGGGTAGCCCTCGCTCAAAACATTTTCATAGATACCAAGCTTGTCGATGATCTGAAGAGCATTCGGCGAGACGGTGATTGCACCTCCAATATCTATCGGCGCAGACCTGACCTCGTAGACAGTAGAAGAGATGTTTTGTTGATGTAGAGACAATGCAAGAGTAAGGCCGGAGAGACCGGCGCCGATAATTGCCACGTTTTCGTGGGCCATGATAGAAACTTGTCGTTCTTTTGATGTGGAAAATTGTACCTGAGAAAGAGACGGGCAAGTGCAATTTTATATGTCGACAGATCCTTAAAGAAATCGTTTGATTAGCCATCAAGTATGGGGGGATCAGTGGGTTTTTCGAACAGTATGTTGAATAATACGGTAAGAGTATCGCCGTCATTATCCCGTGCTCCGTCGGTGCAGCTCCATAAGGGGGTGGATGATTGACGAAGCTTCCTATCAGAAGCACTGTAGGCATGAGTGTTGTGCCGATAGTCCGCTCTAATTTTACGGGGGGATGATTCCCGAGAACACGTAGTAGCACTTAGCTTTAGGGCCCAAAGTAGGGATCTGCCACCGCAAGTGGCGGGCGTGTGCATAAGGAGCGTGTGCATATGGCCTATCCCTAAAAAGGTACTGCTGATCTCCACTTTTGTTGACCATTGGGACAAATATTGGCGTACGCCGTCCACAAAAGTTCAAATGGGGCAGGAGATCAAAGTACTCGGAATCCCGGCCGGGAATTTGCCGAGATCGCCCTAGACCTGGAGCCGATGCGGCCCGGTACATTCGCCCTCCTCCTTATGTCATGCACGTTGCCGTGGAAAGGGAAAGGCAAGGAAATTCTTTGACGAAATCGGCAAGACATCCACTTGTGGATCTCAAATCGTGATTTCTCGCTGTATTTTGTAATATATAAAAGCCCTCCCTGCATTCGTTTCAACGAGTGCTTGAGCCAATATTCTAAACCGCCAACGAAACAACATGAGTCCAAAAATCGCTGTGGTCATTGGAGCGGCACGTGGAATCGGCCGCGAGCTGGTCAGACAGCTGAGCGCGGATTCCAGTATGCAAATTATAGCGACTGTGCGCCAACCAATCGACTTCGGTGCTCCCAACGTCTCATCCATCATTCTCGATCAGGCTATTCCTTCATCTATCACCCAAGCCGCGTCTCAGATCCCAGAGATTGATACATTGATTATTAACGGTGCTTTTGGCGACAAAGACAAGATGCTCGGGTGCCCAGACGAAAGATTTGACAAATATCTCGACATTAATGTGAAGGGACCTCTTCGAATCATCAAGGCGTTCCTTCCGGCAATCCTTGTTCGCGAGACCAGACAAATTGTCTTGACATCTTCTCTCTGTGGATCATTACAGAAGCAGAGTGAATTTGACCATGGTTCTCTTGGCCCATATTCTCTGACCAAGGCTGCTGGCAACATGATGATGATCCAGCTGCATCATGAATTACTTGACAAACAGGTCACTTTGCTATCTTTCCACCCAGGCTGGGTCGCAACTGATATGGGGGGGCCCAGGGGGCATGCCCGTTGAGACATCCGTTGCTGGATACGTCAAAGTAATCAAGGAGCTCAAGCTCGCAGAACACCCCCAGTTCATTGCTTGGGATGGATCGATTGTTCCGTGGTAGAGAAAATTGGTCTCGAAGCCGAACGGGTCAGAAAGGGTGGATATTTGAGTTGTATATATTCTACTCCAAAATCAGATATTCCATAGAGTCAACAAGATAGTCTGAAATCGAAACATTTCACTTAAATTGATCTCGCTGATATTTGCGTTCCTTGGGATAAGGCAGGTTCAGCTCAATGTTGGTCTTTAAAGCTCAAGGATGGGTTGATGCCCCAATACAACCGTGATGTTCAGAAGAGTGCCTTCGTCAAGTCTCAATTTGAATTGTGTACCTCTCCTGTGGGAATTCTGCCTTATAGATTAGATCAATCTGATGTTGCGCAGACTTTCGTCACGGAGAATTTTAATCCCTGACCTTTCAGGGAGTCTCTGACTATCGGCAATTACCTTTCCCCTTGCACGTGACCATTTTTTTCTTCATAGCATAGGCTACGCCCATACTGATGGTGGTCGGGAAAGACCCTGGGGCATAGACAGAGATTGTATGGACTCAACGTCATCTATCGTTTATCGACGCACATTGGGCTCGAAATTTCAATTGTTTCTTTACCGAGTGCGATGGGGAAAGAGCGTCGGACTAATGAAACTCCGGCGGTTAGGATCGCCACCGACATTCAGCAAGACGGGGAAGCGAAAAGTCAAGTGACCATCCTTCTCCCTCCTCTGGAATTGAGCTAACGAAGAGTGGACGAATACAGGGATCATGAATAGTACTACTGCCTGTTATCGATGTCGACAACAAAAAGTAAGTCCCATGAGTAGGTTGATCGTGTTGGAACTTTGCAGAGTAACTTTCTATCTTACAGCGTAAATGTTCCCGAGACCTACCCAAGTGCCGGCGTTGCCGCGAATTCGAAGCGGGCTGCGAATATCCGCTACCTCCTAATCGAAGGCTGTTAGCTTTGCAGCGATGGAATCGCAGAGTCAATCACAGTCAAGGACCCCTGTGAGTTCAGTACCCAGTCTGCCAAGCCTGTGAGCCCATCAGTCTAATGGCAGACCATAAGTTCACACGCCATCAGTCTCGTCGACGACAAATTTGCCTTGCTTGAAATTTATTTCTCCCAATTTATAAGTGCAAGCATATTGTTCGACAAGGACAACCTTTATCTCAATTATCGACATGAGAATATCCCGAAATTTCTCTTAGAAAGTCTACTTGGATTTTCGTCCATCTTGGCAACAAGAGCGATGCAACCGCATCACAATTCTCGCACAGTGCACTCATATACATCTCGGCATTGTCAAAATGATAGCTTTCAATCCAAATTCTTGATGTCACGGGGAAGCAATGTCATGCCTGTCGTGAGGGCTTGCTCATCAGTGGAAGATTTGTTGGCCTCCTTTCACATCTCCCTTTACTGTTTTGCTCATGGCCAAATAAAGAGAGCGAGGTCAATCGCAGGTAAGATACGAAACTTTCATGCAAGGTGAAGTTCGCTTCTGAACTCTCATTTAACAACATTGCGATAAGATTCCACCTTTCAATCCTGTCTTCGTTTGACGCTTTTGTGGCGAGCCAACGCCATCGAAGTCTCCCCACAATCCGCCTTGAGTACTTTTGGGGTGTACTGGTTCATCCGCTGTTTCGTACAGGAACCAAAGTCCGTTGACTCATGTTTCATTCTAGAATTTCCTGACAAACCTGCATTGTCACGGGTCAGAGAAATTCTACGTTTTGTTCAAGTGGGCCGAAGTTCCCCATATCCCCTTGAAGATAATGGAACCGAGAAGCCATTCGCCAATTTCAGACTTCTAGCCCTCATGGGATGCTGGTAATACTCGGAATTCCCTAAATGTCAAAGTTGAGATTTCTAAAGTCACTGATTGCATCTTTGCAGGTTCCGAGTTCGTGAATTCGTCCATGATCTACACAGAGTCGAAGATCCCGTCTCCATGATATCTCGGCTGACAAAATTGGATATCCACATTACCGCTTGCTATGAATCCCTAGATACAGAACGGGCCTTTTCTCGAGGCTCCGACTCGATCTGGCGGCACTGGTCACTTGTTTCTAAAATTCTCTACCACCAGTGCCGAGCCGTCGCACACCTATACATCTATTTGTGCAACCTGCGGAAAGACGCTTCCGAGCATGAGTTCCTCCAAATGAGTGCCATAATTGCCATCCGCCATATAATGTTAATGTCTGAACCCCTGAAGAGTTTGCTTGTGATGAGCCGATCGGGGCAATCTGGCTCCATTCCACCATTCGTTGCGTATTCAACTTTCCTCGCAGCCTCGGTACAATTGGGATCAATTGTGCATTTACGCACTCTTGAAGGACAATATTTCCCCGGAAATTGGGATCGCCTTTTGAGTACCCTCCGCTTCTGTGCCTTGATCAACCTTTCTACTCTAAACCACTTACGAGGCTTATGGACCTCGGCACATATATTGGTAAGCACTTCGCCAAGATATACCCACTGAGTTCGTTCTTCGTGCATGATTTTAACATAGTATGTAGTGGGAGAAGCTGCTGACACTGGCATCCCATGCTTCAATTTCAATACCGGAAATAGATGCATTGAGGCCAAATCTTCAGTCAATGCTAATGACGGATCAAATTACCACCACTGATACTGAGTTGCAGAGCCTAGTGTCTGGTCATTTCTCGTCCATTTTGTCAATCATTGATATTACCGAGCCATTTTACCTAAACTCTGAAAGCGAGAATCCATATCAATTCGACCATCGCTTTTGTGGTACAGAGACTCCTCACGCGCCCAAAAGCCACCCTATGCACGGGAATGTTATGTCTCCAATGAACGAAGTGGATCAAAGTTTGCCCGAAATGCATGATCATCTCAGCACACTCGGGGTAAATTTCTTTTAATGAAGCCTATCATATCCTGGTTGTTTGAGTTGATCGATTTGCGCATGATATTTCAGCCCTAGCTTGGCCAGAGGTCGATTGGAATTGAAAATTCAATATAATAATATCGAAAAAATACTAGTTCTTATTGGATTGAACGAAATCCGAGAGGCAAAATCCGATACCAACTTGAAGGTCATTACAGATCTAATTTGCACATAGTTTCTATTATCAGAATCTAGGCATCCCGCAAATTTAACAAATAGTCTTTGATCTTCACGAGTTCAAGCCGGAACAAATTTCAGAGAGGCTTACATGGGTCTATTTGACCGAGACGCGGTTTGCTTATTCCGACTCGCGAGAGGACCCTCAGAACACATTGAATGGTGGATGTGACCGAATGATTTCTATACCTGGCCAAACGCTGTCGATTCCTGCATACATTAATTCCCCATGAAGTCATAGATTGCCACGTAGTTCCTCCGAACTGACTTACGATTCGTAACTCTCAATTGAGGTCCCCCGCCCCACCCTCGGGTTCAATTTTTAGAGCAATTCGGGGTTCATAGCGCAGGACGGGCATATCGGTACTTATGCGGGCCGATGGTAGAAATCGATCCCACGGTTTGAGTCGCCGCTAGTGTAGAAATAGAGTTTCAGTTTACTTGGTGTACTGTGGATCATCAGTAGTAGTGAGGATGGTTTTTCAAAATGTGTCCCAGTCTCCTAAAGGGCGATCATCAAACATTGAAACTATCGAGATCTGCACCAACTTGTTATGGCCGATAATGCCGGGAACTATGCCACGCGTCAAGATTCGAAAATGGGAAGTAGCGGTCAACGTAGCTAGTTGATTCAAATCAAATCAGCTGATCTCAGTTGTGATGCCCGGGAATCAGCTCCGGAATTGGGTTTCCGATTATTCCCAGTGGTGGGAAAAGACTACAAATGTAATAGAACCAGGTCGCGTTTGATTGAAACCTTCATTGGACAAGAACAGATGAACAACATGATATACAACTAGCTATTGCCATATAACTGCTCTTCATCCTAGATCAACTTAAGCCTTGGCGGCAAACTCCTCCATGGTTTCCCGAACAGTCTTCCTTCCCTTAATTCTCTCGAGCCACTGGGCTACAAGTGGGAAATCCTTCTGCAAATTGACTTCCTCGTTGAACAGCTCAGGCACAATTTCAAACCAAGGAAGGAATAAGATATCCGCATAGCTGTATTTATCGCCAACGAGGTATTGCTTGTCCTTCAACGCCCTCCCCAAAACCCCTGTCACACGACGAATCTCATTCACATATCGTTCCTTTGCGCTTTGAAGTTTCTCAATATGGAACAAGGTGAACCAGACCGCCTGGCCAAAATAGGGGCCCTGACCGGAAACTTGGAAGAAGAGCCATTGCTTTGCTTCAAAATACTCGGCCGATCCGCGGGCGAAGCCGAGAGCACAATCATGGTCGTACTTCTCAAGTAGGTATTCCAAAATAGCTCCAGACTCCCAAACGGTCATGTTGGCGTTTGGGTCTTGAATTGATGGAAGACGGCCGTTGGGATTGATAGCCTCATAAGGATCTTTCTTCAGTTCATCAAAGGCAATATCTTTGATCTCGTAAGGAATGTTAAGCTCCTTTAGAATGATGGCAACCTTGAGCGGATTAGGGGCATTTCCATGCGAGTAAAGCGTGATAGGTTGCAGGTTCGCCATTGAGAAGGTTGTGAGGGTTTGAATATTGCAGAGAAAGTTCAAGTTGGGGAGAAGTTTTGGAGTGTCGGTTTGTACGGTACATATAGGCCAATTATGTGATTGGAAACCGGATTACTTTGGTGACAAATAGCCTTTACCTTCCAATAAGCGCAAATGGCGCCTTAGAATCCCATGGAATGATCTTCCCGGTGGATGGTTCATACATCCTCGCCCAATAATTGGAAGGAAATATCTTGATTCAAAGCTGTGGCTGTCCTTTTCACAGAAATTTTCCTCATGCAGTATACAGATCGTTGGAGCAAAAGCCTCTTAAAACGTTGACTAAGATGTAGTCTACCTCAATAGAACCCGTATCGCCTGAGTTGCAAGTAAAATGGTTTTCTCTACTAGTAACACCACCAAGTACTGTATGGACTTGAATCCTGGTGAATCATTGGCAATTTGTGGTTCTTTAGCCAACGCCAGCTACATAGGGAGCGAAATCACATTTATAGAAGTTATATTACAAGTGTAAACAAAGTGAAAAAGCTCGACTTATGAGGGAGAGTTGCATTATACTCGAGTGTCACTCCTGTTCGGGACTCCTTTCCCACTAATGTTTTGTAATCAAATTTGAATCTTCTCTATCTTCAGTTCCCGATAGCAACGGCGTGTCCAGTTGGTGAACTCAACGACAAGGTGCTGACGATGCTGTTCGAACAGGATTTCAGGGGCCGACGCTGGAAAGTAGATACAAAGATTGACATCAAATCCAGAACCCTCGGCGTGGGGCCGGAACTGGTGTAGAACGTATCCGTTAATTGAACCGTCGTCGGTGTGCCCATAACCAGTGAGTCTGAGAGGGAAATCTTCGTACATGTCTCTCAGCTGGAAAGGTTGAGATGCTGGCTCGAATTTAATGAAAAAGCGAGAAACCCAGGGACCCAAGTTTTCGATCACTTTTTCGTTACCCGCTTCATCGGATTGAACAACCCAATGTTCAGGTTGGCCCGCGAGCATGTAGGGAACCTTTCGCTGGCAACGGTTGCGGAACCAGGGAAGGAATTCATCCATCTTCAGACCCTTCACGGAGAGCTCAATGCGTGCGGGCTTGAAGTCGCCCCCCTTATTTTCAGCCAGAACTTTGCGCCAGAATTCATTTGATTCGTCGATATCAGGCTGAATCAACTCTTCGGTGGCCTCAAGACCAAGGCGCTCTTTGATCCTTTCCAGCGCCCGGCGTGTAAAGCGAAGTTCGTATTCATCGGCCGTACCAGCAATGGAGGGACCGAATGTCACCTCCGCTTTGAAACCTTCCGGATACTCAAGAACTTGAGAGGGCATGATGGCAAAAGGTAATAAAATGATAACAATAAGTGGGTGGTAAAAGAGCACGTATGCTTATTTGTATGCAGAAAGGATGGTAGCGTCTCGAACATTTCAAAATTGATGATGTCATCAATGTGCTGGCCGACGAATAACACGATCCACCACAAGCTGGGTCCCCTAGGGAGCGTAGAAGGTACAGGGGACGCATGAGGTCCAACTCCCCGAAGATTTTCCATCACAGTAGGGCGTGGCAATAAATGGTAACATTTGTCCGAAGGTAATCACCACAAGGTTTTTTCTCCACCTAGACGGTCCGCTTAAGCTCCGAGAAACCCATAAAGCCTTGCAGATCGCCCCACTCGATCGGCCCGCACAAAGCCCGAGGAACGTCCCCGCGATTGTACCGGGCCGCACAAGTCCCGATGGACGAATGCGCACAGGGGCCCATCGCTGCGTCGTGATGCAACACGCTGCCGGTGGACGCTAGGTTTGACGGTGGTATGCGAGCCCGTGGACTATTCTGCCCCGCCCTCAGCCGAAAACCTGTTTTTACCTAACTTCGCTGCGGCGCTTCGCACCTACTCCGGTCCAATGGGAATACCTGGAGAGCAGAGTGAATCGATGAGCCCCTATGCTCGAGGACATGCGATTATGATCGCCAAAGAAAAATTGAAATTCAATAATGATCAAGGAACAGCTTGAGAAATTTTGATGTCCGTCATGTCTCACGTTGTTCTCAGCCGTTCAAGTTGCGCGTCTTGGCCGCGGGGTTTTCAGAATTCCCAGAAGTGTACCCGAAGGGCAGAGACATCCCGGATCTGGCAGACCTCAAATGCCATTCCTTTGCTCAGCTACTCTCTTGAATTACAACACAATTGAATTTTTGTCTATCCAGCATCGAGCACTTTGGAAAGCCGTGTCCCCTATCCCACGGGAGGGTGTGCATTCACCCCTGAATGCAGGTTAGGGTTTTCCTTTACTATGGGAGGAAAAAGTGGGTCCATACCCTGAATGCAGGTTAACTTCTTACCCCGAATGCGCTAATCTAGAGGACTCGGATCGCTCTGAAAATTTGGGAAGTTAAAATAGTGTATCTGGCACTGCTCCAATTTGCATCGGAGCTTGCATAGCCCTCTGGTTGTTGAGAAAATGGTGATTGAAAATGCCGGGTTTTTCGAGATGTTTTGATGGGGTGCGGGAATCTGGAGGTGCGACCGGGGCCTGAGGCAGCCACTTGGTCACTGCGATAAGATAAGCGGGTCGTATCCTGACTTCATGTAAACTGCGCACCCCCACTGCCGAGGGCTACAGACCTCTAATAGATCTGAAATTTACAGGGGTTATAATAGAGAGTGTTTTATTTATCTAAGTGAATTTTTAGACTATATGAGCATATATATGTGGGGTGGAGGGTGATCAAAAATGGGAGATGTTTTGATGGGGGACAAGAAAGGCTTGGCACTACAGTCAACAACACTCTCCATTCTTATCGTATATCTTTTAAACCATGCATGTTATTCGCACTATATATGCCATTCATGCTGCTCACCAGATTCATGTTATTCACCACATTCACGTTATTCACCCATTCATGTTGCTCAACTATTCGTGTTACTCACTGGATTCATGTTATTCAGCCATTCATGTTGCTTACCACATTCATGTTATTCAGCCATTCATGTTGCTTCAGCCATTCATGTCATTCAGCCATCGTGGCCTGTGAATAACCTAAGATGGGATGACTGCCATGCCTATATGATCCATAAATGCCCTGGAATGGGCGGAGTGCCCAGCCTGTGTGGCCAATGGGCTGCTGAGCCTGCCTGGGCCGAGAATGGTCTGAAATGGGATGACTGCCCTACCTGAATGGGCCGAGCACCATGCCTATGTGCCTCCGCCTCACACAGAAATTCAACACACACATTCAACACGCACATTCAACACACACTTTCAACACACACATTCAACACACACATTCAACACGCACATTCAACACGCACATTCAACACGCACATTCAACACGCATATTCAACACGCACATTCAACACACACATTCAACACACACATCCCTAACGATCTGCATGGGTTATATAGGCAAAGCATAGACTGAAATGGGATGACTGCCCTGCCTAGGTGAGCTGAGGGCCAGCCGATGCGGCTAATGGAAGCCCCGCCTATGTGGTTAGTGGCAGCCCTGCATATGTGGGGAATCATTGGTCGACCTGTCAATCTAAGGCCCGGGCCGAAATGCACCATGTCGATCATCCTATTCTATATATAGTGTGTGCAGGCGGGGTAACGGGGGCTGAAACGATCCCCCGCCTATATTAAAATCCTTCTTATACTAACCTGCCTGCCCTTTCCACTCTGCTTTTACTCTCACTTTCATCATAGTTATCCTTCACTGTTTTATGTTATTACTTACCCCCACTACCACAATGGAACATCAGCTTTTTCACCAGCCATTAACCACGCCCGTGATTGTATGCAAGCTATGTGAATATGGTATTCGACCAAAAGAGGTTTTTCGACATCTCCAATCCGTGAATCACCGGATCCCTAAGCCGAAAGCATGCCAGATTGCCGAGGCAGTTCAGAAATGGGATCGTACGGCGGAATGTGATGAATGGCAGCCACCATTAGTGGTTAACCAACCAGTTCCAAACCTGCCTGTTTACTCAGATGGTATTTTATGTGAGCAAGGCCCGTTTTGCCATTTTATCGCCCGGAGTATTGGAACTATGCGAAACCACTGGCGTGATCAGCATAGCTGGGTCGCACCTATACACCGGGGTGGCCGTCGGCGCCAGCAGAATTCTTCGGTAGCGGAGCAACAAGTCCAACAATTCACTCGAATCGTCCGATGTCAACGTGCGTTTAATCACGGGCTAGGGTCCTATTACATCCGCGTTCAAACCCTCGGAGTTGACGCCGTTACCGAGGCCGATTCGGTAGCAACGCCTCACCTTCATGATCGTCTTATTAATCAGATCGAACGGGCATATACCGAAAGGGCAGAGCAGCCCCAGATAATCGAGGCTAGCCAACGAGACGAGACGAATCCATGGCTTCGGAGGACCCAGTAGGCCGTCTATCTTCAAAGGATTAACCCGCAGGACCTCGTGGACTGCGTCCGAGCCCCCGATCCCGAATCATCCGATCAGACCGAGCAGGCTGCCTACGCAATATGGGATTCAATGGCCACTGTGGCTCGTATCAGCCAGTTGATCTGCACCAAAACGAGCCACACTATTCGGTGCGAGGCTGTTCGGACTGAGCGGGATCGCCTGCCCCATCAACCACTACAAGCATATATGGATGGTGAAGCTGTTAAGCGACACACGGTCCTATGGCAGCAGATTCTTATGTTTTTCACGCGCACGCAGGCCCCACACGACTGGGCTAGCCCCCACTATAAGTTGTCAAAACGCTAGCGAGTGGCATGGACCACACTATGGAGACTAGCCCAGCCAGGCCAGGGCAGGGCATAGCAGGCCATTCCAACACAGGCCAGGGCAGGGCAGGCCATTCTAACACAGGCCAGGGCAGTGAAGACCTGAGCAGTTCGGACCAAAGCAGTGTGCATTCAGGAAGTGATTCCGAGGACTAATAGGACCAAATCACTAGCGAATCACCCTTTCAGCTCACATCCCTTGACTCCGCCTGTCTCGACTTTTGCATTGAGCTGTTAAACCACCGAACTAAGGTCGAGGACTATGAGAGCGCGCTTATCTGCGCTAGCGCGGTGCTTGGACGTGGAGAGGCAGGCTGGGGTACTGCCCAGAGCTATCCCCCAATATTATCTAAAGTGATTAAGATTGCCCGGTTTATGGTGGTCCATAAAGCATTAAAACTAGACCCAACGGCCGAGAAGATGATCCACCAACTAGCTACGCATCAGATGGCTGGCGAATGGGATACAGAGAGTCCGTTAGATTCGCCTGATTTCACGTTTCTAACGCAAACAACGGACGATTCGTTTTACAACTTTGACAGTGGCCTAGATCAGGGCACACCTCCGTCATCGCACTTTATTCAGTTTAGCCAGGGCCCACACACAGGGCCACAGGGAGCCAACGATCATTCCGGGAGTGGGTGACCGAGATGGTCAGCCAGTTTATGGTTCGGGGCACCAATAGCCCAATGCAGTGGCTGTTAGATCTACGCACCTACGGCTTGAAGATCCATTATAACAGCACCGCCACAGGCCATGTTGGCTGGATGAACCAAGACCAGCTGTTATATCAACAGTACAGTTTCACTATGGGTGACTTCCGCGGCTTTACCCACGCCCTCGTAAGCTCCACACGCCAGATACTACACGAAGAGCTCCTGTTTAGTCAGGCTAGCTCAGTTCCCACGATCCCGTGGCAGGCTATCTATGATGATCCCACCGAGACCGCGCACGGGTGGAGCTTTCTAAAAGACACCCGTACGGTATGGCCTGTGGCCGGTAGCGAATGGATGGTGAATCGGGTCCGAAACGAGAGACCACTCCAGCATCGTTTCATCGAGTCTAGTGCCGGCCGGCTCCGAATGTCGAATGTGCACAGTTATCTCCAACGGGTAACCCATTTCCGCGAGAAGCTAGCCATTGCTGTCCACGTCAGCGGAGGCCAGCCTGCACGGGCACCAGAGCTATTAAGCATTCGGCACTACAATACTGACAGCGGAGGCCACCGGAATGTGTTTGTCGAAGATGGTCTGGTAGCGTTTGTTACGCAGTACCACAAAGGGTTTTATAGTACGAACGACGTGAAGGTTATTCATCGGTATCTACCCCGGGAAGTAGGTGAGCTAGTGGTTTGGTATCTATGGCTAGTGCTGCCGTTTGTGGAGAGATTGGAGGCGTACACACAGAAGGTGCGCGGGGAGGCATCTAATGCTGAGACGACTGGGTACGTTGAATATATATATGCCCCCATCACACACACACCCAACACACCCAACACGCAGATCAACACAGAGATCAACACAGAGATCAACACAGAGATCAACACACAGTTCAACACAGAGATCAAACACATATATATATATATGCCCCCGCTCTCTCTCACACGCACCCACCCAACACACACATATATATACACTAACACGTTCACTACCAGCCCCCGTCGACAGGCATATCTATGGTCCCCTGACCCTGGCACCGGCCGACAGTGGTCTTCAGAGAGACTAAGAGAAGTTCTAAAGCGAGAAACCACCATTGGTTTGAACGGGCACGCCATCAATCTCCATGCATACCGAGACATCGCCATTGGGATCAGCCGACGATTCATGCGGCCATCGAGCATTTTCCCCAATAATGCCCAACAGGACAGCCGGGCCGAGGCATCCCAAGAAGATGACGAAGATGGGATCAATGCCGAGCAATGGATGGGCCATATTGCCGATCTCCAAGCTGCCCATTCATCCCATGTGGCCGGGATGATCTATGGCCGCGGGATCACCGAGCAGCCCGGTACAACGGCCCACCGGCGAGAGATGTTTCGGCTCAGCAGCACCGATTGGCACCGCTTTCTAGGCTTTGTGTCCGCTGATGACGGAGGGGCCGAGAGCGCATTAGGGCTCGCGCAGCCTTCGCCATGGCAAAAAGAAGCTGAGATGAGCCGCACGGAGCGCCGGTGGCAGCTAGCCCAGGCCGCCATCGAGCCCGAGATGCAACGGATGATGGGCAACACCGGGCTACGGCTTCGAGGGGTGCAGGCACCGGCATTAGCTGCCATTCAACAGGGCCAGAGCCCAGTGGTGGCTGTGATGCCCACCGGGGGCGGCAAGAGCCTGCTATTCATGCTACCCGCGTGGATCAGCCCCCGAGGGGTAACGGTGGTCGTCGTGCCGTTAATTGCACTACGGGGGGATCTTGTCCACCGTTGCCGGCAGCTCGGCATCGCATGTGTGGAATGGGAGAGCCGGCGGCCGGCCGATCAGGCATCCATTGTACTGGTCACGCCCGAATCGGCTATTACGGAGGACTTTATGACGTTTTTGAACAGGCAGCGGCTCGGCCATCGGCTAGATCGAATTGTGATTGATGAATGCCACGTTGTGCTAAATGACCAAAGCCAATTCCGGCCTGCCATGGCCCAACTGGGCAGGTTGATCGTGGCCCAGGCCCAGATGATATATCTAACGGCTACGTTACCCCCGGCAGCCGAGGACCAGCTATTCCGGCGTTTACGGACTACCCGCGAGAAGGCCCATATGTTTCGAGCGCGGACCCATCGGACTAATGTTGCGTACCGGCTCTGGCAACCCAACGTGCCGAGTCGGTACCGAAACGGCTACGATTGGATCGAGCGTCCCGAGATCGTGAGATTCATTCAGGACCGTGTTCGGCGTGCCCGCTGCGCGGCTGGCCGAGTGGTCATTTATGGGCCCACTACTAAGATCGTCGAGCACATTGCCCAGATCGTAGGCAGTGAAGCATACCACAGCCGAGTACTCGATCGTCCGGGGGTGCTAGCCCGATTTCAGGCTCATCCCACTGGGGTGGTGGCCGCAACCAGTGCGCTGGGTATGGGGGTTGATATCCCCAACATCCGGTGTATCATTCACATTGGGGTGCCGCGCAGTCTGCTAGACTACGCGCAAGAGAGTGGGCGAGCGGGCCGGGATGGTGACCGCAGTGAGGCCATTATCATTCAGCCCGAGGGGTTCCAGCGGCCAATATGGGACCAAATCCATGAGGACCCCATCAAGGCTCAGGCCGAGCAGAGCCGGCTAGATCGTTATATATATAACGGAGGGTGTCGACGGGTTATTCTCGATGAGTATCTCGATGGGCATCAAAGGCAGTATTGCGGGGATTCTGAAGCTATGGAACAACGTTGTGATGGCTGTGATCCGGAGTGGCTAGCTAACGAAGAAGAGCTTGAGAGTGAGGTGGCGAGTGAGCTGGCCGTTGGGGGGGGGCAGTGAAGGGGGCAGTGAGATGGCCAGTGAGATGGCCAGTGAGATGGCCAGTGAGATGGCCAGTGAGAGAAACAGCCCAGCCCAGGGCCCAGCCCCAACATATAGGTCGGAGCCCATGGAAGATATCCAGTACGGTTCAATTGAGGCCAGCCACGATGCCCAAGGACCGAGGCCATCATCGAGCGATTCGGAGGCCAGTGGCCAGCGCAGTGATAGCGAATCGACTACATTTCGATCCCAAGTTCGATCCACCAGTCCAATGTATCGGCGGAGTGTTGAACCAGGCAGGCACCACTTAGCCGCGCCAGAACGGCCGGTGCAGTCATCAGGGCATTCAGGATCATCATTTCCCGCCCAGCTCAGCCATTCAGCCCAGATCAGCCAATCACGCCCAGCAGCCCAGCTAGGCCATTCAGGCCATTCAGGCCATTCAGGCCATTCAGTCCATTCAGGCCATTCAGCACAGCTCAGCCATTCACACCCAGCAGGTCATTCACGCCCAGCAGCCCATTCAGGCACAGCAGCCCATTCAGGCACAGCAGCCCATTCAGGCACAGCAGCCCATTCAGGCACAGCAGCCCATTCAAGCACAGCAGCCCATTCAGCCCAGCTCAGCCATTCAGCCCAGCCAGGCCATTCAGGCCGGCAAGACCCGTTATTACCCGCAAATTCAGCTCCGTCCATACCAACAGAGGCCGCCCAACGGTTTCAACGCCAGGACCGAGAGAGAGAGGCAGCCCGGGTGAGTTACCAGCAAGCCCGCCAAGAGATCAGTGCCGGGCTCGAGTTTTTACAGCAACAGGCGCAGTTATGGGTCGGACGATGCTGGTTTTGTGCCCAACGCGGGCTTCATGACCAGCATGACTTATACGAGTGCGGGGCACAGGCACAGTCCGGGTACACATCGGCAAAGAGTTGGTGGATTCGTGTGCGGCGGCAGATTAAATATGCGGTATTCGCCGGGTGCTTTGGGTGCGGGATGCCACAGGCGATCTGCGATCGATATATTAGTGGCGGGCAGGGGCAGTGTATGTACCGGGGGCTGTTATTATCGGGGGTGGCAATGATGGTGTACAGCGAGGGCAGTGAGACAATTCAGGAGGCGTGGGCTCAGCGGCTACAAACACAGGGAGTGCAGATAGAGAATGAGGGTGAGCTTGTACGATTTTTGGGATCCCGGTTTGACGGAGATACGGTGCAGCTCGTGCACGAATATATATGGCTTCGAAGGAGGTGGATCGAGTATGGCGAGAGGGTATAGGGCGAGTTCAGATATATATAGGTGAATTCAATAAAGATGTACGGGAGGTATCAGATATATTACTAAGAATTCGGCAATATAGAGAAAAAGGATAGTGTAGAGGGGGAATAGCTTAGGCAGGGCATGAATCACCAACACAGGCTATATAGGACATTAATCGGCCATGGAGGGCATTCATTAGCCATGGAGGGCAGGCATTAGTCAGGCAGGGCTGGCATTAGCCGGGCAGGGCATTCATTACCAACACAGGCCATGCAGAGCATTCAATAGCCATGGAGGGCATTCATTGGCCATGGAGAGCATTCATTGGCCATAGAGAGCATGCATTGGCCATGGAGAGCATGCATTGACCATGGAGAGCATGTATTGGCCATGCAGAGCATTCATTGACCATGCAGAGCATTCATTGACCATGGAGAGCATTCATTGACCATGGAGAGCATTCATTGGCCAGAGAGAGCATGCATTGGCCAGAGAGAGCATGCATTGGCCAGAGAGAGCATGCATTGGCCAGAGAGAGCATGCATTGGCCAGAGAGCGCATGCATTACCACCACAGGCCATATAGAGCATGCATTGGCCAGAGAGCGCATGCATTACCACCACAGGCCATACAGAGCATGCAGTGGCCAGAGAGAGCATGCATTGGCCAGAGAGAGCATGCATTGGCCATGGAGAGCATGCATTGGCCAGAGAGAGCATTCATTGACCAGAGAGAGCATTCATTGGCCAGGTAGGGCATACAGAGCATGCATTACCAACACAGGCCATGTAGAGCATTCATTAGCTATAGAGAGCATGCAGTGGCCAGAGAGAGCATGCATTGGCCATGGAGAGCATGCATTGGCCAGAGAGAGCATGCATTGGCCAGGTAGGGCATTCATTGGCCATAGAGAGCATTCATTGGCCATGGAGAGCATGCATTGGCCAGAGAGAGCATGCATTACCAACACAGGCCATGTAGAGCATTCATTGGCCATGGAGGGCATTCAATAGCCATGGAGGGTATTCATTGGCCAGAGAGAGCATGCATTACCAACACAGGCCATGCAGGGCATTCATTGACCAGAGAGAGCATGTATTACCAACACAGGCCATGTAGAGCATTTATTGACCATGTAGAGCATTCATTGGCCATAGAGAGCATGCATTGGCCATAGAGAGCATGTATTGGCCATGCAGAGCATTCATTGACCATGGAGAGCTTTCATTGGCCATGGAGAGCATGCATTGGCCAGAGAGAGCATGTATTGGCTAGAGAGAGCATGCATTACCACCACAGGCCATGTAGAGCATTCATTGGCCATGGAGAGCATGCATTGGCCAGAGAGAGCATGCATTAGCCATAGAGAGCATTTATTGGCTAGAGAGCGCATGCATTACCACCATAGGCCATGTAGAGCATTCATTGGCCATAGAGAGCATGTATTGGCCAGAGAGAGCATGCATTGGCCAGAGAGAGCATGCAGTGGCCAGAGAGAGCATGCATTGGCCAGAGAGCGCATGCATTACCACCACAGGCCATACAGAGCATGCAGTGGCCAGAGAGCGCATGCATTAGCCAGAGAGAGCATTTATTAGCCAGACAGGGCATACAGAGCATTCAATAGCCATAGAGAGCATTCATTGGTCATAGAGAGCATGCATTAGCCATAGAGAGCATACATTACCAACACTGGCCATGCAGAGCATTCATTGGCCATAGAGGGCATTCATTGCCCGCCCAAATCATCCCATCATTACCACCACAGGTCGATCATTACACCATTCACACCATTTATTTGTAATATAGGCAGGGCATTGATCACCGGCCCAGTCATGCCATATAGGGCAGGCATTACCCACATAGGCGGGGCATTTAGCACAGATATATACAGTATAGCCACCACATTCAGGTAGGGCATTCATTACGCACATAAGCTATGGATTCGTTACCGATATATATAGTATAGCGATCACATTCAGGAAGGGCATTAATCAACCATACAAGGCAGGCATTACCCACATAGGCAGGCCATACACTGATATATATATAAGAATGATCGCATTTAACAAGGGCATTCATTAAAGATATATATAGATCAGACATCACATATAGGGAGGGCATTTATCGGCGGCGGAGTATTACCATACCGAGCATTCATTACCAACATAGGCAGGGCAGTCATTAGCCATACATACCGGGCATTTATTGGCCATATAGGGCATTGGTCACCCAGGCAGGGCATTAGTCACCCAGGCAGGGCATTTGTTAGCCATAGAGGGCATTTGTTAGCCATAGAGGGCATTTATTATAGATATATATAGTTTAGACATAGCATACAGGGGGCATTTATCGGCGGCGAAGTATTACTGGGCATACGGAGCATTCATTACCAACCCAGGCTAGGCAGGCATTACCAACACCGGCTCGGCAGGCATTACCGGTGTAGCTCAGGCATTTCGGGCAGGCATTCCCCATATAGGCAGTACAGGCATCACCGGCCCAGGTCAGCGTTTCACAGCATTTAGGCCCGTCGTTACCAAGCCCGGTCAGGCGGTGTATATATCCGGTTTTTTTATTATAAGCTCGCGTAGTCAGGCAAGGATATTAACAGCATATTACATATATATAGCTTCGAAGGTAGTACATTGAATATTCGGAGAAAATATCGGCGAATATATATTGATTCATATATAGAGTATATAATATATATATATATTATAACTTCAGGGTAGACATATATCGGAAAGGGTTTTACATCGTGGTTCGGTTAAGGATCGATATACATATAGCGGGGGGAGAGGAATATCAGTAATCGATACGGACTAGTAATAGATAGGCGGGTAAGGGTGTTTAATTAAGAGAGGGGTAAAGGTTTGTAATCAGGCGAGGGGTCAGGGGGATAGTAATAGATTCAGGGGTAAGAGATAGTAGTAAAGAAAGAGAGACGGGATAGTAAGAAGTCAAGAAGATAGAATTATAGTATAGCTCGGGTTAAGGGTTTACAGTATAGCGAGGGGTCATGGTTATAGATAAGGGGTGAGGGTCATAGTAGTTCGAGGGGTCAGGGTTATAGATAAAGGGGTAAGGGTTTTAGACGAGGGGTGAGGGTTTTAGATGAGGGGTGAGGGTTATAGTAGTTCCAGGGGTAAGGGTTAACAGTGATAGGAGGGGTGAGGGTCCGTAGCAGTAAGGGTTGAAGTCGTTACCAAGCCCGGTTAGGCAGTATATATATCAGGGTTAATATTATCGGGCGAGGGTAGTCAGAAAAGGGTAAAAATGGTATATTAAATATATATATAGCTTCGAAGGTAGTACATTGAATATTTGGAGAAGATACTGGCGAATATATATTCATTTATATATAGTATATAGATTATATTTACACATTATAAGTTCCGGGTAATAACGTATCGGAAAGGGATTTATAGGATGGTTCGGTTAAGGATCGATAGACATATACGGATATATATATAAGAGGGGATTTGAAAGACGGGAGGAGATTAAGAAAAGTAATCGATATAGATTAGTAATAAAGAGAGGGGTAAGGGATAGTAATCGATTCGGGGGTAAGAGATCATAGTAAAGAAACTAATACGGGATAGTAAGAAGTAAAGAAGATAGAATACGAGGATATTAAGGAGTATAGAATTATAGTATAGCTCGGGGTCAGGGTTACAGATAAGGGGTCAGGGTTACAGATGAGGGGTGAGGGTTACAGATGAGGGGTGAGGGTTACAGATGAGGGGTGAGGGTTACAGATGAGGGGTGAGGGTTACAGATGAGGGGTGAGGGTTACAGATGAGGGGTGAGGGTTATAGATAAGGGGTAAGGGAGTAATAGATTAAGGAGTAAGAGATAGTAGTAAAGAGAGGGATCCGGGATAGTAATTCGTAAAGAAGATCGAATACGAGGATATAAGGGGTAAGGGTTTATAGTACAACTCGGGGTATAGGATAGTCATAGTTTTTAGAGGGTAAATTATGGTAATTTATAAAGAATCGATAATATAAAGAAAAGTGCAAGATAGTTAGAAACAGAGGGGTCAGGGTTTTAGATAAGGGGTGAGGGTTATAGTAGTTCCAGGGGTCAGGGTTAACAGCGGTTTTCGAGGTAAGGGTCCGTAGCAGTGAAAGTTCAAGTGGTTACCAAGCGCGGTCAGGCAGCATATATATCAGGGTTTAATATTATCGGGCGAGGGTAGTCAGGCAAGCGTAGAAATGGTATATTAAATATATATATAGGTTCGAAGGTAGTACATAGAATATAACGAGAAGATAGCGGCGAATATATATTTCATGATATGTAGTATATATCATATATCGATATTATCCGTTCCGGGGAATGATATATCAGCGAAGGATTGATAGGGTAGTTAGGTTTCGGATAGATAGATATAGATATAAAGAGGGACATACAATAGGAGGAGAGATTAATATCAGTGATAGATATCGATTCGTAATCGATAGAGGGGTAAGGATAGTAATAGATTTCGGGATCCGG